GTATGTAGCATTCTCTTAAGTCCGGAATAAACTGGTTCTTGTACCGGGAGAAAAAACAATTAATATATAAAAATATGCAAAGGAAATCCGGATTTGCATATAGGTGTATATAAAAAAAAAACAAAGAAATAATAGGATAAAAAAAATATATATACATACAGGTATATAACCGAGAAATATGCTTTTAAAATACAAAAGGAAAACGATTTTTACTAGCTAAGGTATATAAAATATAAGAAAATAAGTTTACCAAGAATACTCGCAAAGGGAGAAAAAAATATTAATAAAAAAACTTATGAATTCGTTAAAAACCCCGTTCGAAATAAATTATTCATAACAGCTAAATTATTGTATATGTTTGACACGTCGTATTTTTTTTTATTTTTTTTTTTTTTTTATAATCCTAAATAACGACTGACAGCGGATTTTTCTCCCGGGTAAAATTCCCGGGAAAATATCCCGAGCGTGTAATAATATTTTTACTTTACCAAGTGGGCATCGAATACTCCATAACAATAATATTTTGTACACTGCGTAATATTCATCACGCGATACCGCATCTACTGTCTCAGTTTTACAAACGCGCAACACAGCAAATGTTCGATCAGTAGGATATATTTTTCTGCCGTTAGTTTTAATATTAAAGCGAATTTACGTATTATCATCAAACTTAAATGTAAGAAGATTAGCTGTGCCCTACCGTTGATGTTTTTTCGATATTTTAATATTAAAGCGATATTGAAAAACATCAACGATAGGGCACAGATTATCTTCTTACCTTTAAGTTGGTATAGTTTCTATTAGAGTATTTGCATAATTCCAGTTTTTGGTAAACAAGTTTTAATATTTATTGAAATTTAATGAAAAGTATTGTTATCAATACTCAAATCAACGTGTAAATGAACATTAAAAATAAAATAAATTAGACTTACTTGACTAGCCAAACAATAAGTTTACATATTTTGTGTGTGATGAGAGACATCGAGTACGGTTGTACGAAGTGCCGAGCAATTAACAAGGTTTACAAAAGGCTACAACGGATGCTGAGTAATGGGCAGTGGGTACTCAATATTCGGTTTCGTCAAGACACATGATGGTAAAAACCAAATGACCAAAATGGAAGACAAATAAATGCATAGCTAAACAAAAATCGTTTACAACAATAAACAATTTGTTCAGTAAAAATGATAAGCACAGGTAAACAAGTAAACGACACAAAAAAAACAATATTCGTTATTAAAATAATAAAATGTTCGTAGGTATGTTCCAAATAATACTACAAACGTCACAAATTAACAACTAAAGAAAACAACCATAGACGTGAAAAATATAATATGAATATGTGCCAGTGTTGCCGATCGCTAAAAGATAAATTACCAATCCGTGTTATCGGAATTTTAAGAATTACTAAATATAACAATAAAAAGCTATCTTAGGGGCTAAGATAATGAGTATAATGCAGCCATTTTGTAGGTGAGAAGTTTGGATGGTAGGATATAGACGAGAATTTAATGTACGAGGTGATCAATCTATCAAAGAACACTCATTATTTCGGAAAATATTAACTTTTCCCGAAATTAATTTCCTAGAACATTTAAAAAATGAGCTGGTATATAATTTTATATTTATGTTATTTTTTGTCACCCTTATTTTTAGGGGTAAAACCAACACCTAATTTTGATTTTCAAACGACAACTTACACATAAAATTCCATAAATAAATGGAGTATTAATTAAAATAAATTTTAGTATTGACATTTTTTATTTCCGCCAATCCATTGACGAGATATTCCACTTTTAAGTATGGGTAGGGGGAGAGTAGTGGTGCATCGTTAACACGCCGCGCGCTGTACCGCCACACAAATGATACTCCAGTACTCTCCTCCAACCAGAACTTAAAAGTGAAATATCTCGTCAAGGAATCGACGGAAATCAAAAATATCAACACTGAAATTTTTTTTACTAATACGCTATCTATTTATGAATCTTATAGTATAGGTTGCTATTTGAAAATCAAAAGTAGTAAAGGTAGTTAAGTGATTTTACCTCCAAAAATAAGAATGACATAAAATAACATAGATATAAAATTATAGATCAGCTTGTTTCTTAAATGTTCTGGACAACAAATTTCTCAAGAAGTTAAGACTATTCGAGATAATAAGTGTACCCACCTAAATAGTTCACCTAGTGACTAGGTGAACTATTTAGGTCCTAGCACTAGGTCCTAGTGTACGGCCGCCACCGAGGCGTACAAATCTTTTTTTTTGTCTTATTTGCCTTAATTTAAAATTTAGATCATATATATCTACTTCACTGACAATTGCATTCTTACGTATTATGACTGAGTTACCAAATATATTAGCTTGATAGTAATTACCCAAGTTATTTATTTACAGACTATAATTATCGATTGAAAATCACAAAGAAACTTTTATATTTACTTTTTTAGAGTGCATGATTTCTAATTAGGTAATTAATATAATTATGTAATCTAATTTAAAGACAGTGTATAGAATTATTATTTTGTATTATCTAGTATTGAAAGGTAAGACAAGTTGATTGGAAGGAGGATTCACCTAATAAATTAATTGTTCTCGGGCACAATCCGAACTTTAAGTGTGCACACGCCTATGCAATAATTCCTTGTAAACGTGCGTAATGTTGTTTTGACGATAGTATACTTATAGAATAATATTAAATCAAAAATATATCTTTAATACAACGATAATATTATAATACTGTCATAAAAAATAAACATAGATCATATAATAAACTTAATATAATTATACAATTGTTATTTTTTTATTAATATTAAACCGAAATGTGATATAAATAAACGAATTGAAAGATTATGAGGTACTCTTAAATATATTTGATTAGGTCATTCGAAAAAAAATAATTTCATTGGCAGGTACGTTACGTTAAACCAAAAACTGATAAATATTTCCGTGTATTATACCGGGCGATTCATTTAAATGGGTACTCTCATTTCATTATCTCGGAAAGTATTAACTTTTTTTGAAATCTGTTTTATAAAACATTTAAAAAAATAATCAGTTCTATAATTTTGTATTTATTTTATTTTTTTTCGCCCTTATTTTTGAGTAAAAAACCACTACTTACTTTTGATTTTCAAATGACAACCTATATAAAAAATTCCATGAATAGATGTAGTATATGTAGTATTAGTTAAAATAAATCAACGGAAATCCAAAATTTCAACACTAAAATTTATTTTAAATAATACTTCATCTATTTATGGAATTTTTAAAATAGGTTGCAATTTGAAAATCAAAAATAGGTAATGGTTTTACCCTTAAAAATAAGAGTGACAAAAAATAACATAAATACTGAATTGTAAAACAGCTTTTTTCTTAAATATTCTAGAAAACAAATTCTTTAAAAAAGTTATACTTTCGAGATTATATATCTTCCCGAGTGTTATCGGTACAAACAAAATAATAATAATATAATTGCACCACGTTGTAGTTTCGGTATGCGACACAAGACACCGCAAACGACTATCTCCGCTGTAATCAACAAGAATTAGGCAATTTAAATAATTTAGCGCGAATACTACAACGCGATAATTTCATTAGCATTCTGTGTATATACCTGTTTAATTATATAATATTTCCCGGATGTAGGTATAGAATTTCTTTGTATTTTATAGTGGTTACGTGCGTATAAAGGTCACCTAATATATTATAACGAAACAATTATCTAAAATATACTAATATTGATTATGACAAAAAACGTGTATTTTATTGTCAATCGTTGTATTATATGTCTGAGTACCAAATCATTTTAGAATGTGTTGCGTGTTTGTTTCTTTTAATTCTGTTAAATCAGATAATATTTTCAAATACGATTCGGTTTGTACGTGTTTATTCCATATTACGATACTTTTAATTTTGCATCGATAAAAATGAATCATTTAGAGTGGTGCAATTATGGAGTTAGGGGGGCTCAGCCCCCTTTGATAGTCTAAAGCATCTATCATTGCAAACGCAAAGCCCCGTGAATCATATGTATTTAATATTATGGTGAAACTTAAGCCCTGCCCCATCCTCCCGAAGTTTATGAGCTAACTGCGCTATTGATCATAATATATTTTATACGGGATTCAATAAAAATAATTCTAAAGCGCATTTTCTTTGAAGTACATACCTAATTTTTAGAGCTACTTATATTTTAGTCATTAGAAAATCCAGTGCCGGCCCTAGGAGAGGGGTGTGTTCAAGTGATGAGACCTCACCAGGCCCCACAAATTTTATATTCCGAATATCACTTTATCTATAAATAATCATAATAATATTGTCCAGATAGTAAGCAAATTTCGACCCATGTGCCGTGTGGCCGTGTGGTTTTCTTAAAACAGGGGTTGTTATCGACAAAAATCAAAATGGTACCAATTATACATATTGTCGGGTTGCATAAACGACCAATAACTAGTTATCAAACCGATAACATCATAATTGGTTTGATTTTGGTTTAATTGGTTTAAGTGTTTGCCTGTTGCAAAAACGACTTTTAACTTTTATCAATTCGACAAATTATGTCTTATCGAATCCGATACGTTAGAGGCCCGATTTTGGTTCGATAAGTAATAAAAACAGTGTCATAACTATTTATTTAAGAACTATATTTACGTTTAACAATTTTACGCAACAGTCCTGTACTAAATTATGGAACCGATACAGATATTTGTATAATAGTTTATCGATCTGATAACAAACCTTTTCGAGCTGTTTTTATCGATTGTTTATGCGACCTGGCAATAGCCAATTAAAATATTAATTAATAAAATATTGTTTTTATCTAAGTAGGTACCTACTTATTTTGTGTCTAATATAAAAATACATATGCATAGATATACAAATTAAGATTTCTAACAAAACCTTATAATTTATAAAATTATATGAAAATAAAGTTCGTTAGTATGTAAAATATATGGGGCCCCGCGAAATTCTTCACCTGGCACCGAAATCTATCGGACCGGCACTGAGAAAACCTAGGCTACGTACAAGTTGCGAGCATTTTTTGAATTAAGCAAATTAATCAGACAAACAATTGTGGTTATTTTATTTATTGTGTATACTCAAGTTGCGGTCATGTGGGAAGTTAATCAATTTGTAACATTGTCTTATAACATTAAACGATATTTATTAAAGAAAATATATAAAGCGTATTTAATTATTTTACTATAGTATTACGAATATATATTGTTGACAAATCATCACTATCAACTGCACTCCGCTCAGAATCGTTTTTTCATTAGCAATGGTTTATCGATACTTATATGTATACCACACATTAAATTACCTATAACAGTAGCTACACCAGTTCGATAATATTATTTACCTTATACTAAGTACTCGGTAGGTACCTGACCTGTATACCTACCCGCTAAAATAAAATGGCATTATATGTATTCTACGAGTATACTACGAGTGTGTTAAAAAATGGATTAAATATAATTGTCAACACTGTTAAAAAGTTATTGCATACGCCCGAGTTTCGAGAGGAACGTTTAGTTTATAACGATGCGTATTTTCACGTCTTGTCGGGATAGTTTCATACGATAACTTTATATATTTAATATAACATTGTATAAGTTTAATATATTATAATAGATAATTTTATTCTACGAAAACGTAGTTTTTTGAATTTCTAACTAGCAGCTGTATTATAATAATTTAATATACGGCTAACTGCAGCAGCGTGCCAGTGACCTGCGAAAAAAGCCGGTCGGACTAAAACATTTATGGCGAAA